TGTAATCTCTCTGGGATTGAATCCTCCTCTGACCGCGCGATGTACTTCCCCGCTGACAGGTGGTGGTGTGAACCATGCCCGACGCGGTCCTTTGACACAACACAGCGACCACACACCACCACACACACACCACACAGGGCCCACACCACAGCGACACCACGAGGAACCTCGTTGCGCTCATCGCTGCTCCACATCTCGGAGTAAACATGGAGGTCCAGGCATCTGATGCCCTCAGTCGTTTGCTTTCTCCGGCTCTTTAACCCCACGTCTGACAAAAAAGGGCCAGACCCCGGTGAGGGTGTTTCTGCTCTAGACCAGGGGGTTCTCTGTCTGCCTCTGCTGCCCAGTATCTCACACTCACATTGTCCCATACAGACGATAGTCACGTCACCTTAACCAGGTCAAGAGAGGGGGGGCTGCTGCTATTCTTTGCTCACCAAGATCTCCTCTCCAACTCTCATAGCTCTGATGAACTGAGGAGGACTCACTCACCTGTGGCTCTCAGCTCAGCTTGCTGCTCACTTGTCAACCGTTTTTGTTTTGTATTTTTTTATTATTATTTTTCACCACTCTACAGTATATCCATCATTTCATATTTACAATCAGGAGGACACCAGGACCAAGAGGACCACTGCTTTGGTTTTTTAGATCATGTTTTATTGCTGTATCAAGCCGCAGAGACATGCATAGGAAATAAGATGTTCTGGCTGTCAAAATAAAAGCTTTGCTATTGTGATTTACAGCCCTGCATACAATTTATCTGCATTGATCTTCATTTTCAAATCATTTTCAAGGAGTTTTTTTCGGTTGCACTGTCCTCACTAACGCTCATGGTAAGTTGTACCAGTAGGCTGGGCATCTGACACATTTAACTCCAGTTTTAATGCAGATTATTCTACCAACAGTAGAGTTTAAAAAAATAAAGTACCCAGGTTTATGGGCAATCTGAGTTAGGGGCTACAATACAATTACAGTTTTCCAGGACAACATACAATATTTTAAGCACTTTTGGCCATTTTAATCAATTACAGGTGTTTTCATGACTGGAAAATTAGTCTTAGGATGGTGCAGTTTAAACACAGCATATTGTTACCCAAAAATGCTACTATAGCATTTACTAAACACAGATTTAGACAGAACTCAAAATTTAAAGTGGAATATCTGCAGAAGGACCAGATTTATGTGAATGAATGATATAGTCTAACAAAAAATTAATAATTTATCTTATCTAATTTTATTTGACTATTTGACTAAGTAGTCTAAATCTATAACAGGTACAAAGAAAGTGAGAAATGTGCTGTATAAATGTGTACATCTGGAGTCATTCCACATAATTTAGTTTTAAACTAAATTGAATTTAGTCTTTCTTCAAGATCACAATTCTCTTAGCTTAACTGATTATTCCTTCATATGAAATGTAGCTACATGGCATCAATGCTAATAGCATGAGAACACTGTCCAAAACTATTTTCATTCTAATATGTATGAGTATTTATAAGTAATAGTAGTAGTATTTGAATTTTAGACCCAATAATAAATCATGATTAAATCAACCCCTGTTCAGTACAGCTCAATATATTTTACCCCTAACAAAACAGGTTGAAGCATTTCGCTTTCCCTAAATATAAAGGCTTTTATTTCGGAATTAAACTCCGTGTCGTTTTATTTTTTCTACTTCCGGTGGTGTCTCGGCTAACTCCGTCCTCCTCTCAGTCAGCTTCACATGTTGCCTGTGCGCTGTCAGTTAGTTGCAGTGTGTTTCCGAGCTCTCCGCACACTGTGAGGGACTCTGGCTGACTGTGTGTGCAATGTACCGGTAGTTTGATTCACTTCAGTACACATGGAGCCTCCGGACTTCGAAGCCATGAACTTCACGGTGGAGCCGGCGGCGGCGGCGTACCCGCTGTGTGAGGAGTGGAGGGACGGCGCGGAGGGCTCAGTGTTCCACCTCGCCAACATCTTCCTCTTCCTCGGCTTCATGGGCGGCAGCGGTTTCTACGGACTCATCTACCTGTTCACCTTCCTCACTCTGGGCTTCTTCTGCTCCACCCTTTGGGCTTGGTCGGACAGCTGCACCACGGACTCCTTCCTGTGGAGTTTCGCGCTCTTCGGGGTGTGTTTGGGGCAGGTGCTGCACGTCTCCTACAGGCTGAGGAGCGTCTCCTTCGAGAAGGACTTCCAAGAGCTTTACAACTGCGTGTTCAAAAGACTGGGAGTGTCACTCACACACTTTAGGAAGATAGTGGCCTGCTGTGACGGGGACATCCACTCGTTAGAGAAGGACCACTGCTTCGCCATAGAGGGGAAAACCGCCATAGACAAGCTGTCGGTGCTCCTGTCTGGCAGGTGACTACACCACCTGAGTGTCTTCACCAAACTGCATTTACAAATCTGTTAATTATTTTGCTTGAGGCTCAAATGCAAAGCAAACGTGAAACAAAGCTTAACAGTATGAGTGTTTGATAAAACCTGTCAATTCGACACTGATATCTGAAATTCTACCGTAACAATGGAGTCCCAATGGACGGAAAGCCGCTAGAGACAAGCAGTCGGTGCCCCTGTCTTGCAGGTGACTACATCTCCTGAGAGTTTCTCCGCCAAACTGCATTTACAAATCTGTTAATTAATATTCTTAAGCCTAAAATGTAAAGCAAACTTAACAGTAATGAGTGTTTGTGTCCAAAATTGCTGTACCAGAAAATGTATGCCAGTTTAGCCATATTGAGATTTTAGGTGCTTCATTCTTTAGGACAGGGGTTCCTAGAGTTTTTCATGTCAAGGAATCCCACAATAAATGCAAATTAGACTACAGCGCTGAGGTGAAAAGTGACCTCTCATAGCCTACATTTAGCCCTAGCATCCATTATGCAGCAGCTGCTAAATGAATGTGTGGAGTGAAAATATGGCTACTGAGTAAACAATCCTGTTTTTTAGATGATCACTTCCTCTTCAGCTGCTAGCTTTTTTAACAGCGACCGTTCCCCCACAGGAACCCTGTCTGAACTCAGACACTGCAGTGACTTATACCAGGGCACTAACTTAGCACCAGCCACCAGCCAAACGCTGGTGACATATTTAAGTGGCTGCTACCTTTGCTTTACCCAGCAGCCAAAACATGAATGGTTATCTCTTAAGAGGCTGCTAATATTAGCATTATACATTTGAACATTCACTAGCCATTTGACTGGTGGACAAAAAAGGTCATTTTGCAACCAGATTCTGGAAGCACATGTCTAAAGACGGACGGCCACAACTTCCACACAAGAGATTTTAATACATACACATAAACATGAAGCACAATAGACAGTCTCTGAATATTGTTGGTGTGAAGGGAAACATACTGCTTTTTGTGAGTTTGGGCAAATAGTTTTTGCCTGTAGGATCATGTGTGTGCGACTTCGTGGGTTGAATCCTCTGGGAAAGCGGCCTCAAAGAGCTCTTCCTGGCCCGGGTGTGTGATACACAAGAAAACTGAGAGCTGGGAACAGCTGATGTGTTAGCAGCCACCATGCTCGCAGGCAGGAAGTAAGCTCCTCTCATACCTGTTCCTTGTCACAGTTGTGATTTAGTTTTGCTTCTCTTGTCACACCTCGGTAATGTAGGTAATGGTTGGCCAGGTCACTGTACGCAGCAAAGGTCGAGCGGAGGTTACGCACTGAGGATCGCTGCTACTATTCGTAGGTATGAGTAGAGGCATCAGACGTGTGTTTCCCCTGTCCATTGGTTGTATCTCTGTATCTCTTTAGGTGAGACAATGTACCAGGTCCATAAATAACAATGGGGAGTTATCAGCTGTAATGTAATTATTGCTTTAATGTAATAATTTACAATAATATACCTTTACCTTTACTGGCTGATCATTTATGGGCCCCAATAATTATTGTGCAACCCTATCTCTATCTTATCGGTATCTGCTGTGAGAAGCAGGTAATTATCAGTTAAGGGTGTAAGAAAATATCGATACACACGTGGAATTTAGTTTTAATAATATTGTATTGAACAGATCCCACTGTTGCATAATGAAGTAATTTAGTTTTATGGTTGTGTGTTCTCGACAGAATTCGCAATATATCGTTTACAGTAATGCAATATATTGGACTGTAACCACTGTATCATAATACATATGGTATGGCCAGGGAAATGGAATTGTGTTTCTTAAGTACTACAGTTCACACAATAAAAACAAATACAGTAAAAAAAAAAAAGTGACAAAACAAGTGCAAAGACAGTCAAGTGCAAGAAAAATTTTATGTAAGAAAATATTGAATTGCAACACATCCATTAAGTGACTACTGAACCTCAGATTGCCCCCGATGCTGGACATCAGCATATGAAAGTGTGTAAGTGCCCTTTAGTTTTGGTTTCTGATGAGCAGTTGGAACCTTGCATGGTAGCCGCTGCCATCAGTGTGTGTGTGAATGGGTGTGAATGTGGCATGTAGTATGAAAGTGCTCTGAATGGTTGGAAGACTAGAAAGGCGCTTTACAAGTACAGTCCTTTTACCGTCCATTTAGCTGTCAGTGCTTCCATACACTGATCAGCCATAACATTGAGAGCACTGACAGGTGAAGTGAAT